ATTTATGACAGTTATACAATGAGATAGGATCCAGAGATTCGAAGAGTTAGAAGTCAGCTGTCCTTTCTACTGACAAACTTATGGACGGTAAGAGTCCGGTTGACTCGAGTATCGCGTTTCCTCAGGGACAGAAATGGAAACGATGTAGCTATGTGGCAATTAATGTTGCCATCTTTCTACCAGGGACATACCGGAAAAGAGGAAAGAGCCTTTTGCTTAAGGTATACACGCGGGCAAAAGCATTTTTTTCTCATGCGGGCTGATATCCCGTAGAGCTCCCCCTCCTCCAGCTTTATCAAGCTCAATTACTTAATTAGAGGATTAAACTAACATGCATGTGTGACGTAATCTTGGACAAATAGATTTACGTACATCACGTCGACATATAACCTTGAGAGGAAAAATATATAAAAAAATTATACACATGAAATATCGCGGAGCATGTAATATGTAAATTATGTCGCGTACATCCGATATAATTATTCTCAACGATAAGATAAAAATTGTGCAATCGCTTAAAATAGATATAGATAAAATAGATGTTTTTTACAAACTATAATACTTACTCGATATAGTCATTTAAGCAAAGAAATAAGTATTAAACTACTGAAAATCTTTTATTGATAAATCGAATTTTAAATCGGTATTTTATTAAAGTTTTAAATCGATATTTCATGATAGTAATCCCGTTATATCAAAAAGTTTTATCGCTGTGATATAAAAGGAATACGCTATAAATAAAATTCTCTAAAAAGAACCGATATTGACATATTTTATATATCAAAGAATATTGCTAACAAGATTATAAATATATGTAGAGTAAAATAATTAGACTGATGACAATGTATAAGACAAGAATAATAGGACCATGTTAATCAATAAATTCTCGCGTTCATAAATATTGACAAACAACTCAGGACTTAAACCGGAATGTCGTCTTGTTGCTGTCACTCATTTACATTGACCCTTAAATTTCTCTACGAATCTCGAGGATGCAGTAGAGGAAAAGAGTGATTCAAAGACAAAGATCCTTGTAATGTCTATCTGCTTGCGCAACCATCTAATACGCGACGCGTGTTCGCATGTTATCTTGTGCAACCGGCTTTTCCTCTTTTTACCCCGCGTTCGGCATATTTCAAAAATATGCTGTCTTATTACGAAAGGAAGAACCGTTAGTGTTCGTAACCTTTGACATATGAATCTACCATGAAAATAGTGATTTACACATTGCTAATCAATTTTTTTGAAGTGCAAGAAATTATCAGTTATAGTTTTTAATGTCTTCCAATTCTCATTTCGTTCTATTTTAAATTATTCAAATTTAAAAATTTTTTTTAAATTTACAAGTTTTTTTAGCTGCCAATTATCTTATTAAATCATCAGAGATTGAGAAAAAAAGCAGAATTTCTTTCTATCAATTTATTGGAAATTAATTATAATATTATCTATTATATTTTTTATTGATTATCTATATAAAATAATATGTTGATGATTTCCGCCATTTTTCTTGACCTTAAAGAGGCGCCTAACATCGTTTCATAAATTAGCTTAATGTGAGTCACGCATAATGATAAACTAAACCGAGCCGCTAAATTTCATGGAGCGATCGCGAACGTAAGCATAATGTCGCAGCGATAATGTCTGTCATCGGGATACCGACTGCCCCCAAATTATCACACTCTCGCGACTGTTGTCGTACGACTCGACTCGTACATCACCGCTATCGAATCACCAATTCAAATTCCGACCGAGTCCTTGGAGACTCGACTGCGCGCTTTGCTCCGCGACACCGTGTCGCCCAGCTGTCAAACCGCTCTCCTCTCGATTATTATCAGTTTCGTATCACATTCATTTCACATCAATTTGAATTCTATTTCATTTCGTCCATACGGCATATTTTTAAAGAAAAAAATATCTTTACGAAAAACCATCTTTTACCTTCACGAAGACCTTCTCTACGAAGGATGAAATAGATTATGAAATTTAACAGAAATTGCTACATAAAATGAATATTATCTAATTTGTTGATGTAAAAAAAGCTTATTCAAATCATCAAAACAGAGAGTTCAGTACAACGATGTACAGTTACTACAACAGAATATTTTTTTCGCAATATTCAACAAAATTTTTTTTTCAGTGTGCAGTAGAGGAAAACGAGTGATTCAAAGACAAAGATTCTTGTAATGTCTATCTGCTCGCGTAACCATCTAAATACCCGTGTTCGCATGTTATCTTGTGCAATTTAATTATCTAATTTGAATAATTATGGTGTAGAAGATGGGTAAGAATTGGTAAGAAACATTCTTTGATAAATCGATCGAAGGTATTTGAAATTATTATATAAACTGATTTTTCGGGTTGATTTAAAAATGAAATACTTTTTATTATATTTAAAAATAAATTAATAATTGCAAATATATTATATTTTTATTGTTCTCATTATCTCAATTGAGAACCTACATTTCAACAATAAACTAAGTAATATATCTCACGGTTGATTGATTAATTTTTCCGCTTCGTAATCAAAGTGATTTAAGAAAGAGATAGACATGTACGCATTCCGGTTCTTTCCTAATCCCGCGGTTCTAAAAACTTTAGACAGTACATTACGATCGCAGTCACGCACGAAACGAGTCGGCGGTTCAACGGTGGTCCGTTCGTCCAAGAAGAAAGAAAGGAAGCCGCTCCCATTATTAAGGAGAAGGAAAATGAAATAGCGCTGCGTTTACGCTCTCCAGGAAAGAGGAGAGGAGAAGAGAGGGGAGAGGACTTCTCTCTTCCGAACGGACAGTTACCAAAAAGCTGTGAATCGCTCTGAAACCGGCCGCCGACCAGCCGCGTCCCAGCCATCTGCCCCCTCGGGCCCATCTTTATCCTACCTGAAACTCGCGTTCACCTGGCTGGCCTTTCCCCCACACGCGCTCTCTCCCCCACCTGGCAATCAGTCTCGTTCATCTTATTTTCGAACCATTCAGCCATTGCCACCGGTTCTCTGTGGGCCAAACGCTCGCGATGCCTCACGTGTAGAATCCTCAATGGAATTCGCCGAGGTGGACGCGCTCTTTTTGCGAGACTCTCTTCCTCCCGACGAATTACGAGGCTATCCGTCCCCGACGTATCCTTCCTCAAGCGCGGTGTACGGTCAGATCCTCTCGATTTTTAAGAGCGAATTATGTAATCGCCGCGACAGAGCCGGAAACGAAGAACGAGCAGAACGGAAAATGCCCGATGATCGTGTGAAACTGGATATCGCACGCTTTTAACTCATTAATATTCTAAATTATATAACAGTATATTTTTTTATTCTTCTAACAACAAACTTTATTCGTCATTCTGATGATTGATAATCAATTTATTAATTTCAGGAATAATAATCGAATTAATTTTTTTGACACTCGCTATTTTTGAAAGCCAACAATATAAATAAAAACACAGAATCTCTTTAGATTCTACTCGAAAAGAAAGATAAATGTTAAAGTGTTTACACACATCCGTTGGTATGCGATTTTATAAATTTTCTTTATTAACTTTCGAGTTAATCGATTCGACATCTTCGAATTAGCACAATCAGCAATCGTTTTGCAATTCGATAGTTGAGTTCAATGATCGCGATCGCGATTTGGTGCATTGCCGAACCGACTCGCCCCCGTAAATGGTGCAAATGCAATGTCTTCCGGTACGTAGGTACATCAGGAAGCGTAATTAAGCTTTTTTTTAATACATAATTGCTTCTTCCGCAACAACGATTATGACTTGCACGCCGATTACAAGTTGTACAACTAGTCGTAATCATTTCTATAGAAGTTGTGTCAAAATCTCTTTTCTATCTCTAATTAAAACATTATTAACTACATTACTAATATATATATATATATATATATATATATATATATATGTATATAATATATATAAATGTAAATAATGTAAAAAATGTAAATATATATATATATATATATATATAAAGAAGAAACATTTATAAATTATATTAATTATATTAATTAAAATGTCAAAATAAAGTATCTTCAAATAAATGTAAATTCGAAAATTGATTTTCTAGGATAACACGTTTCCTGGAAGAATAGATGTTTAGATTTATATATTGTTTTCTCAAATACGAAACTTATTTCGTTGCACCGAGATGTTGCGCATTAATAAATTCATTTGATCGAGCGATCGAACTCCTTATTTGAATAACTCGCGGCGCAATCTCGATTTTTACGGGCACATAATCAGATAATGATCGATAGCATTTCCTTATTTTGCTGGCATAATGATTATTCGTTACCGCGATCTCTATTTCATGTCGTCATCATTTGTAATGTGCATCCGTAAACGCAACGTTCCTTGTGATATGATAATAAACCCTGGATTTTGCAACAGAAAGGATTCCCTTAGTGCGCTACTTTCACTCGAAAAGATGAACACGAATAATAAGAACATGAATGTGAATGATTATTTCGTTTTCTATCTATACTTTATTTATTAATCTGAATTAATATATCAAATATATCAAATCAAAGATAAGATTAAATAGAAATCATGCAATTTCTGTATTTTTCTCGACACTTTATATATTTATAATGAGAGATAAGTTTTTAAGAAATAATAAAATAATCAATTTTTAATGAACTTTTATACAAAAATAATATTATTGTGCAATATTACGAAAAAAAAAACCGTTATTTTTCATATACAACAAATATAGAAGATAACAGAGAATATGGAAGATAACAAAAAATCTTATCTAAGTAGTTTTGTTTTGTCAAATGTCAAAGTCTCTTGGAAGATACTGTAAGCTAAGTTGATACGATCTAAAAAGCAACACACGTTCATCTTGTTATGATTCTCAGCTTTAAAATAATCTATCGATAATACAAAAAAAAATTTAAAACAGGCGCAAAAGTTTCCAACGCTTTTCACGGTAACATCGCGCGGACACGTCGTCAATTCGACGTGTCGAGGAAGGAAAAAATTGAGAAAAAATTGGGAAAAAAATTCACCTTGTACAGCGAAGAGGATCACCAACAGACCGAGTATTCGCGGCGGCAACATCTTCCCACGTCGACACCTGTGCGTCTCTCTTTTCAGAATTTCTTTTTATAACCCACTTGATAAACCAACGTCACAATGCGCACTACTTCCTCTCTCTCTCTGTCCGTTCCGAGAATTAACTTGTTCGCCGCCGCCTCCGATTCTTTGTTATCGCGTAGATCTCGTGAAAGAAAGCGTCCGATTCGAATCGCGGGAATCGAATCGTCGTCGTTAGACGGAATCCCCGCTTGATCCCACTGGATATCGAATATAAACTGAGCGAAGGAACGCGCGCGGTATACGAAGAGCGACGGAATCGCGCCCCCCGGCTTTTTACGGGGACTTGCGCGAACTGGCTGCGCAGTGGACGGATCTGCGACTGGTACGTGTGTATGCGTGCGCAAGCCGCGTGTTGCCTGGGTGTTCGCGGTGCACAATTAGAGCAAAATGCACATCTATCTTCCAATTTTTTCGAGCATCGAGTTAAGAGACATTGCCCGGATAAAAATGATAAAAATCAAAACCGACATGTAACAATTGTGGTTCACTTCGATAATAAAACTATGATGGAATTCAAATTTACTCACGTGTGTGGATTTGGGATGTGAAAACTCGTTGAAATTTTACATTATATTTAGCCGTTTTCTCTGCCATCTGACGTCAATACAACGGGTGTCTTGATCCGATAAATCCGCCGTAGTCTCGCCAACGCCGCTGTAAAAACATGAAAATGTAAATAGGTGTAAATTTTCTCGCGAAGAGACTGCGATGCAGGATAAACGCAATAGCATACCGACAATCGTTTACGTGCATGCATATCTGGACACAATTTGCACTTAAAGAGCACCGCCTCTCTCGCCCAGAGTCTCATCCATTCATTCTTATTGTGCAAGATACGATGACGGCATAAAGCGATTAATTCCGAGCTTTCTATACAAACACCGACGCCACTTTTGCGTTGCATAAAGGACGACACGTCCTTTTAACTCGAAGGCTACCTTCGACATTCTTCACATACGTCGCGATCTGAAAAGAAAAAAAATACTTAGTCATCAACAAGAGATTTTGCTTCAACGTAGAAAGAATGTGCTGTTATTTTAACGATCCGTTAATAAGCATCTCTCGTGTTATACATAGTTTCGTAACTATCTGTACGTCATATTAAGGAGGCATTCTTTGATTAATATTTAATAATTATAATCATATTTCTACCTATGTTTAAACATTCGTTGCATATTTTTGAAATTAATCTTTTCTTTAGAGATTATTTTTTACAATAATTTTTGTTGTTAAACAAAAGAGATCTTTCATTTTTCTCAAATTTTTTCATTCTTGCCAAATATATTTATCCTGAAAATTAAAATTAGAACTTTTTTTCATACACAATTCTTCCTATAAATATTTATTTAATTTTATATTATTTTTATTTGTATTCACGAGAGATGTTAACTTTGATAAGAGTGATAAGAGAATAAATCATAAAAATCATAAAATGAGCTATTATATTGTTATTAGCTATTTCATATTAAACGAATCACTATATCAAATATGCATGAGATATTACGAACTACAACGACAAGTTTCTCCTTTTGGTGCTGGTTATACGATGTATGTTATACAATATCGTTATGGTATTGTTCCAATATATACATGATTTATCAACGGCGTGACTAATGTCGCAAAAAATAATGATGTCACGCATGTGACAAAGTGTGCATTTTATTTGAACGATGGTGTTCCTTGAACAACACGACTTGTTTTTTCGAAAAATTAATAACTGCCTATATAAATCCACTTTTTCACGAGAAATACCACAAATCCGGTCGAGGTTTTTCCAATAGAACCTATGGGGAAATTTGATTTTTAGGAATCATGAAGAAAGGAAAATAATCTTTTATCGTGAATAATCATCTTACCCAAAATAGATATATTGTCATACTCTATACGGAAGGAAAGAACATTAGATACTATTAATCGGTATTGACCGCAAACATGAACGAGGTCGATTGTGATTCACGCGACCGCAAATAAGCAATTGTAATTAACATATCCTTTCACGAAAATATATTTAATCGCGTAAGTAAAATTAATATTCGATAATCTTAAATTTACTTCATGCATAATTATCAATGCATTTTAATATAAATCAATTAATTTTATATATTCCTAACGATAAATTTGTGTATGTAGTTTATATTGTAATTTTAATCTAATAAATATATAAATTTAATATAATTATAATTATAAAAATAAATCGATACATAATTTCAATAAAATTTAGAGTTGAATATCAGAATAATAGAGAATTTTATAAATGCTTTTAAAGTATAATCTTAAACAATTTTTTAATTATTTGCAAAGCTATTTATGAAAAAGAATTATATGTATAAAGTTTTAATGCAAGAAATATTTTCGTATTCATTCGATACTAATTAAATTATCTAGTGAAAACGGGAAATATTTGAATTCTATGTCCATGCCAGGTGAATGGCGCCTGAACTTCCGGCTTATGCGATAACGAAAACAAGGCTTTCGCTTAGCAGTTATAACTCATTTTGTTCTACATATATCATAAATATTATGCAAGTCACAAGTACTAATGAATTTGCGGATATTGGAAGTATATATGATAGTTAACAAAGAAGAGCAAATATTTTTTTTTTATAATTAGTCAATATTTATCGAATTATCATAATTATGTGGATAATTAAAAAGAGAGAGAGCAAGGACATAAGCCAGTTCCAACTTATGTTACAAATACATAATTATCTTGCAACGCATGACAAAACGTACGAAATTATTTAAAATATATATTTACGTATATAATATATAATATATAATAATATATATCATGTGTTGACACCTCTTTTTCTTAGATAGTGATAATAAAAGTGCTGCTCGAAAAATAGGTTTGTTTAAGGCTCATAGGAACATAAAACTTTGATCTAGTAATGCACTTAATTAAAATCACATTGCAAAATATATATCCTATATTCTTGATAAATTTAAAAAATATATTCCATATTCTTAATTTGATATATTCTATATTCTTAACAGACGTATATTTTTATTTAAAAAAACTTTAAATTATACATTAAATTTTGTATAATAAAAAAATATTAAAAAAAGTCAATAAATCAAACCATAATGACAAACAATCGTCATGTCTTACAATAAATTATAATAAATGGGAAACGTCAATTTTCTAATCTGACATCTTTTTGAAGTGAAGCATGTTTAAACGTTCTGAAAGAAGATTAAATATTGCACATTTGTCATAAATGTTCGACGGAGAATGGAGTTTGAAACTAATCAATCTAAATAATATATTACTATTATAAATAATATAAAGTATGTACAATATTCCGTTTGATGGTATTTTAGCCTTAAGCACGAGATTCTTTATTTCGACTAATCAATCAAACGCTTACTCGAAGTATTTCATTGATTAATCCAAGTATTTCTAACCTAAGACAGAGTTTATGATGCCATTAATCATTCTCGGATCAAATTTGCTTCGTTCGAAAACGCTATGAGAATCCGTTCACTTGTATTATCCTTCCCATCCTTCTTCTTTTCGATTGAAAAAACGGGAATGGGTCTGTACCGTTCGTAAGAAATATAACTCGCTCCTTGATCGACCGTTCGCTTCTGGCAATAAACGCCGACTTCCGGAAACGAGGCATCGCTCGGAGCGTCGCTGGCGTAGGCTTCTCGGCGCGCGATTGGCCGCTCTCGCAAAGCCCACGTGCCCCACCGCGGCGATATTGTGATGCATTGGCGAACGCGACGGGACAAAGGACGCTTTTGTACGCAAGCAGAAGGACGCCATGTTCATTTGTCAACGGACAAGGTGTTCCCGTGCGGCCGTGCGAGATGAGCGGCGAGCCAACTGTTCCCGGACGAGAGTCGGCGGACCAATTCGCGGGAACGGACGATCATCCCTCGTCCATCTCGTCCGATTCTCATTCCGTCCCGAGGAGCCCCGGCGCCGAGTCGCGGAAGCGCAAACGCGAGGAGTACGAGATGCAGCTGTTCAACTTCCATTCCCGGGCCGTATACGCGACTTGTAAGTCGCTGTCTTTCTTCTATCTACGACACGACGCTATTCTTCCGGAGCGGCTCTATCATAAGGGGGAGAGGAAGGGGGAGGGGAGGGAGACAAGGAGCGAGGGACTCGCGGATGGAGGATGGACCTCCGCGTCGATCTCTTGTTAAATCTCTCGTCGCTGGACGGGTGTGCTCTAGTTTCATGTGGCATTCGATCATGACTAGAGTCACACTCGTCCAACGACCGGGATATTTCCGCCGAATTATGACAAGAGGGAATGTTCTTCTTCCGATCGCGGCGACGAGACGCCGAGGATGCCGCGCCGGTCGAGAAGCGTCGCCCCTTTGTTGATGAAAGCGTCCTTTATCTCGTTGAATTTTTTTCCATTTTAATTTCCGTTGTATTTCCGCTTATGAGACGTCCTTGATCCTTCTTTGATTTTTAATAATTCTATATAAATCGTTACTATTGTAAGATGTAGTTGGTTGCTTTTATGGAAGAAATTTGTTAAAAGAAAAAGAAAAAAACGTAAATTGTCACTCAAGTCTCTATAAAAGATTAATCTTATTTGAAAAGAATAAAATTGAAGTTGTAACTTTCAATAATTTAGTTTTTAATACATCTTTTAATGTATTATTTCTTTGAATAAATTAGGTTATTACACTGAACACATACAGATTATCCATTGTTCTCATAACTAGATTTATTTGTGTAAATCATGCTTGGCTGTTTGTAATCTTATTGTTTTCTCTTTGGTTTGTTGTAGTGAAGAGTATTGTAACGGAAAATATACAGTCTAAAAGCAAAAAATTATGCAAAGCTTTGGAAGATAATAAATCATATTCTGGAAACCTAAAAATGAATGAAGCGCAACTTATAAAAGCATACTATACTGCTTCCTTATCTCATTTGAAGGACATAAAGGTAGTTTATTTTTAAAACAAATTTCCAAGTTATATCTAATTATGCATATTTTATATGATTATATGATAATTTATGATGATTTTATATGATTATATTTGTTAAATTATAATAAGTAAGAAAATAAGAGTATATATGAATGTAATTGTTTTCCTCACAGAATATCGTGAACAAATTCATTACTGTACCAAACAATGTTTTGGCAGATGAAGATAAGCTTCAAAGAGTACAATATACGGAAGCAGAGTTTGTAAATATGCGTAAGAAACTGGAGGAATTTCAACAAAGAGCAAAACGAGTATGTATATCATAATTATATGCTTGCCACAGGAAATAGTATAACTGTGACTGTTGTCATTTATATAGTAAATATATATAGATGTGAGAACATTCAAGTATTATATAATCCGAGTTTTTTTTTCAGGCAACTGTATTAAATGCAGCATTAAAGGAGGAATTACAAATGACAGAGCAATGTTTGATACATGTGGATAACAATGGCAGATTGATTCAAATAATTGAAAATTTAATTGATGCCGTCGAAATGGTGCCGAATGTCAGGCATAAGATTCATCAATTAATCAAAAATTTTAATCAATTCAATTCATATTTCAACAATGGAATATCTATATCGCAAAAGTCGCTTTACAATACGATTGATGATCTAAAATGTGTAGATTATGACATGGATATCTTATGATTATAGAAAAGAAAAAATTATTCTCGTGATTTTTGAATCTATTACTAACATGTTATTATTTTCTTAAATATATATAAATATATAAATAACTACATTCTGTAAATATTATATATCGTCTTATATACACAATTTGCATTTTTTAAATTGTAAATATATATTTTATTATTAATTGTAAATATATATATATACTTTTTAATATAAAAGTTATTACTTATTTTGCCTGATATCTCTTCAAACACAAATATAATATTTAGTGCGATAGTTCTCTTTGTCCCTTTACCAATATATGTAATGAATTTCAATAACTGTTATGTTCAATCAATGTAAAGTATGTAGTGATATTTAATACAAAGTTTATATTTTTTTAAGTGCGTTATATAACAGAGTGTAATCGCGCTCTTTGATGTAGTTCAGTATTCAGTACTCAATCAGATAAAAATAAATTAGTCTCAATAATTGTGATGACTATGTTTTTTCTTATTCGGAAACGTTACATTATATATCTTTTTTTAATTTTTATTTAAACATATATAAAAGCAAAATAAGATGATAAGATGCTTAGTAGCCTAGTAGATGCCTAGTCTCTTCTATAATCGTATTCTACTAATATTTTTCTGCATGAATAAATAGTGTTAACATATTAATTACTTGTTGTTTCAATCTAATTAGATTCGCATATTTTCCGCGAATTTTGAAAACTTGCCTAATTGCAATAAAATTTATAAATGCGATGTAACATGCGAATATAAGGAGCAGTATTTTTATAGAGATATTTATAATTAACGCAAAAAATAAAGAGACTAAGATATTAATATAAAAAAATAATTTAATGTGTCTATTATATATCTGTATTTTTGTAACGTATCAATTACTTTTTTTATTAGAATAATTATTAAGGCAGTGCGCGCATTGAAAAATGATTTACATAATTTTTCTAAATAAATTTTTAAACAATTTTATCATATGTATAATTTTTAGATATGTCCAAAAAAATGTTGAATATGTAAAAATAATGTTAAAATCTTTTTGAAACACTATATAATTTTTTAATATATTCACTCTTTATATAGCCTGTTTTTCTTTATGTACTTATTTTTGAAAACTATTGGTTCAATTATTATTTTTATTATCATTTTTTAAATCTGTTCATGAATAAATATAAATTATTTAATCGTGATTTAATCATGATCTCATAACATTGTAATTTTATCAAAGCTTACGAACAATTAAAGTTTTCAAAAATCCAAAAAACGTTTAGTTTATTCAAGCTATAATTAAAATTCAAGAAAAGTTTATTCAAGTCATAATTAAAATTCAGGAAAAGTTTAATAACAAGTTTAATAAAAAGTAATGCTCAAAATGTAGTTAAATGCATTAGAAGAAAGAAAGTGCAAAAAATTTTTCGGATGTTAACTCAGTGTTGAGAAAAAAATATAAAGATAGATAGCTTTTGTACCTGCATCTGACGTTTTAATTAATAATTATTAATATGCCTCATCGAAATACACACATAAAATGCAGATAAAATGCTTCATGAAATGAGAATTCAAAATCTCGAGCAGTTTAAGTCTCGAACATTACGGATTTAATTCCTAGAAACAGCGAGACGAAGGCTTATCGCACCTTTTCCTGGAAAAGATCCGAGCTTCGAAAATCGCGTCCAATCCTTTGCTTCACTTCTATCCCCTCTTCGTCTCAAGTCGTCCCCTTCTATCGGACGGATCATCCGGAGACCAGTCCACCACGCATCGTTCGCGCGATCCTACATCGATGATGATTGACAACGTTAATGATCTTCCCGGTGAATGCCAACGCACTATGCGACTCCTGGAGTTGTTGCAACGCACGCACTATGAGCTTGTACAGGTAAAACGACCAGCACTTTTAACTTTCCAAAGACACATTCTTTTATCTGTGACATTGTCTTTGACAGTGATTTTTCTTATCTATTTGCGATACATTTGCGAGAAAGATTTTTTTTTGGTATGCACACATCACGCATATTTATTGTTCGTTCTAAAAAATAGTTATAAATATCAATGATTTTATAAGAGAACGAAAACGAGATAAAAAATAGCAGATACGCATCTTCTCTATAATTCATTTTAACATGATATTGGGATACCATAATATATAATATTTGCCTCTGCGTTAATTTGCACATAAAATATAATCAATATTATCTGTATTTTTCTAATAATTTTAGTTAAAAGCGAATTAAATATTTATAATACATATAAATATCACATTTTCTCTCTCTTTCTCTCTCTCTTAATTATAATATTTAATTATTTTTAATTATAATATTTTATTTCAAAAAAAAATGTTCCATATTTTTCTTCCTACTTCTCCAGCTGCATGAAAGAGAAGAAAAATTAGTAATATTTTCATACACATGTAGGTGAACGGACAACGACGGCTGATGGCTCCAGAAGTGGCGAAGGGTGAACGACAGCGTGGCAAGGGTTCCGAGATATTCCTAGGCCGATTGCCGCGCGATTGTTACGAGGATGAGCTGATGCCGGTGCTGGAACAGGTGGGCCGACTCCTGGAGCTGCGACTGATGCTGGACTTCTCCGGGTCGACGCGCGGCTACGCGTTCGCCTTGTATGAGACTCCGCGAATCGCTCGCGAGGCGTGCAGGCGTCTCGACGGCTACGAGATCCGTCGAGGTCATCGTATCGGCGTGGTCAAGTCCATGGACAACTGTCGGCTCTTCTTCGGCGGCGTACCCAAGAACAAGACCAAGCCAGAGTTCATGGCGGAGCTGACGAAAATGCTGGACGACATCACGGATATCTACCTGTATCCGAGTGCGCACGATCGCAGTCTCAATCGCGGCTTCATCTTCGTCGAGTTCAAAGATCATCGAGCGGCCGCGATGGCACGGCGCAAATTAATACCTGGTAAAGTTACGCTTTGGGATCACGAAATCGCCGTGGACTGGGCAGATCCCGAGCCTGGCGAACCGATCGACGAAGACATCATGGAGAGGGTGAGTTTCGAGTTTTCCTTGCTCAAAGGAGCTTATATTTGTAATTGTTATTTCATTTCTTCGCTTCAAAAAAATCATTTTTGCACATTTGTCTTCTATTTTTTTTATAAAGCTAATTAATTCTGCGAAGTTTTTATTTGCTATTTGTATTTTATTAATATCACATTTATCGATATACGAGCACGTGATATTTGAATACTGAAGGGAAACAAAAATATGTAATATATTTGATATGAACATCTATATCTATTTATCGAAATGGAAATCGAATAAAAATTTAAATATATTATTCTATAGTTATAAAAATTACACATCGAATCAGACAAAACAGACAGATAAAACATCTTCGGTATTTGATGATTTGATAATAATTTTTTTATTAAAGTATTCCAATAATTTAAAATTTAACCCATTGACTTATTATAAATATTTTTTTATATTTTAATATAATAAAGTGTACTTATTTAATGTATTTGTTTTTTTTCGTTGATCAAACTATTAAATTTTTAACTAAATATCCTTATTTGCATAATTATTAAAAAAAAACTCTTTCTTTCTTTTTCCAAAGAAATCCAAAGAAATATATACTGCGAAGAAAAACACTATAATAAAATAAACAAATTCTAAAGAGCACATATCATTCATGTAAAGCATGTATCGTCGCAGCAAAATCATCATATCACTATGTATAATGACATATAGACAGGACATGTCGCACTAATTCAATATCGTACGCGATGATAAATAGGTAACGACTCTGTTCGTAAGAAACCTCGCGCTCGATATATCGCAGCAAAATGTGAGGGGAATTTTCCATAGACACACGAATGTGCCAATATTGAAACTGAAGAAGATCAATCACTTCGCTTTCATTCATTACGAGAATCGTCAAGCTGCACAGATCGTAATGGATATAATGCAGAGTGAGTATTATGCGAATGATGAATGCAGAGATCTAAGATAACCAGAGATTTAAGATAAAATTAAATAAATTATAAAAGTACGATATAAAAGTAAAGAGAATATGAAGTAACTATAAGATTTCAGTGAATATTTTAATAGATTCTAAAATAAAGATATATCAAACGGTAGAAAATTAGTTAACTGTATCAAATCAGTCTACTATATGTATTAAGCATCTAGAGATTCACATATATATGTCATTAAATTAATGTTATTACCTCACTTTCGGCCGAATGGATATATCCCTCTAAGAATTTTATTTTATTTCAGTCTCAACAATTCGCATTATATGTTTTTATTTTAGAACCGGGTAGTATCGTCGAAAAACAGGGTTGGGAGATTTGTTGGGCGAAGCCAATTGGAGCGAAGAATTTGGATAGGCAACAACACATTCGCGAGGCTGTAACTAACATGCAATCATCCAAACTTGAGAAGACTGAAAGATTGCGCGTGAAGACGTGCCGTAAGAAATATTCAAAATGCATTCAAATGGAAATAGTACCCGAAGATGATAATGCTTACTTGATGCAGATGAAGATTCTGCAAGACTTCGTCAAGGAAAGATTCGACGCGATATGCATCTTTGATTGCGTGTCAACGCCAAATGTGTCCGGATATATTGGTACAGTAAGTGTCTTAATTTAAAAATTTGCAACTTCTTATTTCTTTATTTGTACCCGATGATTTATTCATTTTTCGTCGCACTGTTTTAGGTAATTATTCAGAAAGATCAAATGATTTTGTTCAATTGTCAAGGGAAGTCGATGCCATCGAAGCGTAAAGCCCTGAGCGTGGTATGCGTTAAAATATATCAGTATTTGACAAGCACTCTCCCGAATTCTGGTACGTACAATATTTTGGCTTGTGTTATATTAAAAGCTTTTGATTACTTCGTGCTCTATTTGCGCATTGAATCAAAAGATTTTGACAAAATATTTCCGCGCGAATTATTTTAGCTGTGATCCAACAACGAAAAACACGTGTAACATTCATAAAATTTGAGCTTTTAGTAATAATCGAGAAACAAGTGGCGTTTATCGTAAAATCTCGTTTGCGCTTTGTTTCCACTTCGGAAAATGTTTCTGCAATATACAATATATTGCATTTTAATGTTATTTCGTGTATTTCTACAGCACCGCAATCATTCGAACAACATTGCATCCAATCAGAAATAGGTATTAATCCTGTGGTTGATATACCGAATGGTTGGCATTCAGAAATAATTTACAGTTAGATTTATAATCTTACATTATTGCTACATTATCTGTTTTGCTTTTTTCCCTTTTAATTAGTCATCGATTGTTTATTGTTAGATACAAAATTTATAGAGGCAATTGCATAAAAAGTATTACACAATCGTTTTCTCATAATTAATGATAATTGTTTTATTTTCATTCCATTATTTTACTAATGATATTAATTAATTTTCAATTTAAAAATTAAATTTTGATTTTAATTTTGAGAGACAGAGTACTTTTAAGAAAAGTACTTAATATGTTTAATTCTGATTTATTAAAGTCGATGAAATTGTTTGAATAAAATTTCAACATTTATACAATAAATATCTCACTCACACGCGATATATATGTATTTCGGGAATGTTATGTAAATTAGTAATTTTCCAATTCAAAAATTGATTATAAGTTACGATTCTGAAATAATATTCTTTTAAAAAATGCCTAAGATATATTTAAATTTAGATGATTAAAGTTTATATTAATTGTAATAAAAGATATATTTAAATTTAGATTATTAAAATTTATATTAATTGTAGTAACAGCTTAAAAGATAAAATTCTAATCTAAATAATTTATAATAATAATATAATTTATATATCGTAATAAATAAAAAAGACTGATATGACTATTTATACTCCGATAATAAGTTTAAAATTTGTCTATATATTACGATTAAGATAGATTTCCGAAATATATTTATTCATAATTTAGATTAATTAAAGATAATTCACAAAATCAAATATTTGCAAATTTTGTAGTATAAGAAATCTTACTTTTTACCCGTTGTTTTTATCTGATTATAATCTTTATATTAAAAGTATCTACTATTTTATAATACTTTATTTTAAAAAGTTTTTAATATAAATTTATTAAAAGTTTATTATACGAAATTTCGTTAGACATTTTTAAAAAAATAGGAATAAAAAAGAAAAGAAATTCAATTTTAATGTGTTTAGATAAAATATGGAATTTGGAATAATTCTTTTAGTTAGAACATACATATAGCGTGTTACATTATCGAAGTTATAATTATAAACGAATACGTTGTGTTTGTTTTGAAATATTTTCATTTATGATGTATTGCATAAATAATTAATATAATAAAGGTATTATATTTTTGTAAACTGCTATTCTGTCTTTTTCTTTTTACTTTCTTTATATCTCGCTGAAACTTTAAAAATGTTCAAAGAAGTACTTTTTTAAGCAGATTTATATTATAAACATTAAGTTTAGATCATTTTTGTTGTAGATCATTTATGCTATACATTAAAATGTATATAGGCGTTCTTATTTTTATTTCTTTATTTTAACTTATAATATGTATATGTAGAATATATATTAAGTTATATATAAGTATATATAATAAGTTAGAGATATGTATATTATCGATAATTAGAAATATATTAATTTTAAAAGTTTTGCCATAATTATAAATTAAAGAAGATAGTAAATTGTGACAATATAAAAATTTCTCTCTCAAGATTTATTTCTATTTTAAAAGAGAAATTTTTGAGAAAATATAGACAAAATGCATTTACCGTTTCAACGGGAAAGGGCTCAGCGCTCTATCCATCGACGGCAAAATCGTGGAATAATCCTCAAGGATCCTACGTACCGTTTCGTAATCGGTATTGCCGGTGGCGTTAATTGATGCTGGTCTCATGCAGTGTACTAATTTTCTTGCCTGCTTATTACATCCAGCTGTACTGCTCTTCTCATGCACGCTGAATGTTTCATACGTGAATGTAAGTAGCATCTCCACAGCACAGTCGAGCACTATGTCGCTGGGCAATTCGCCGCGGCCGCTCTCGACGCAATCCTTGATGACGACGTTCATCCAGTTCCAGTCCTCCCATATATCTGATATATCAACCTTCTGGATCTCCAGTTGCCATGTCAAACGAGCGCGATATCTGAAAAAATATGATACGAGTTAGAAACGTTTATACTTCACTTAACATCTTCATTTAACTAAATACAATTTATGTAACTAAATAGTGTTTAAAAATATTTTTTATTGAAATAATTACATTTTACAAAATAGTGAGTAGAATATTAAAAATTTTATAATTTATAATTTATCTAGAATCAATAATACAAAGTTATATTAATAATATAAATTGATATCCCCTTGTATACATCAGTATTTTGTTTTAACAATAATAATAACTTACGCCCAACTCCATGGATTCTTGCTGAATTTCACTCTCTTCAAATTACCCAGATAAGCGAACATATTGTAATCGATATAGCGAAGCTGGTTATAGTCGAAGTAGAAGTTTTCCAAATTGGGAAGCATCTGAAAGATCGTGTAATCGATTCCCTGAATAAAGTTAAACGACAAGTCCAGGGTCTGCAGAGAGTACATATTCATGAACCAATCTCCCGGTACGAATATCAGTTTATTGCCCCAGAGCATTAGTTTTTTCAACTTCGTGAGGCCCACAAATGCTTGAGGGTCGCATGTTTGTATACCTGATTCGTGTAGATCTAGAGTCACAAGAGTTGCTCCGAATCTCGCGAAACTATGCCTTTGATAAGGAGAAGTAAAATCATGATCAATTCAAAGATGTAATTAACTGATATCAAAGTAAAAGCAATACGCCTTAACAAAAAATGAATATTTAAAAAAAGAATATATAGAATAAGCGAATATTCAAAAGTACGATGCTTTATCATATTTTTATATTAAATTTATATATATATATATATATATATATATATATATATATATTATAAAAATTGATTTTTTTCGATTCTTTCACTTACCCAGGTACATTGGATATATTAGAATCGAAAATGGCGATAATCGTCGTGTTGGCTCTCGCTTGATCCAAATACTCTGACAGCGTCGTCAACTGAGTGCATCGAAAAACGACATCATTTGTTTGATTAATTTTCACGCACGGTGAATCTTTCGTCGACAGACCCGCTTCAAAGAGTATATGGAAAAGACAAATTAATAGCAAATGCTTCATCGTCGTCAAACCTGCTCGCGATGAAACCGTTAAATTAACTGAATTCCTCGACATAGTGAGATATGTGAGCGACGTCATATCTTCGTAGCTTCTTCCTCTTGTCGATGATAAAACAAATCAGTTTGTGTAATTGAGTAACCGGATATTTCTGTGCATTTATTTATCGGCACTAATTATATCTGTGTCTTTTCCTGTGAGGATATTATATATCACAAAATATATATGTATATTTAATGATTATATATCAATAATTATATCAGACAATAGATGTATTTACACACGCATAAAGAGTTTTAATTTCATAATGTTGCATTATTGCACATCACTATTCATAAGTATGTTATAATATTAATTATATATATATATATATATATATATATATATATATATATATATGTGTGTGTGTGTGTGTGTGTGTGTGTATATGTATATATATATATATATATATATATATATGTGTGTGTGTGTGTGTGTGTGTGTGTGTGTGTGTGTGTGTGTGTGTGTGTGTGTGTGTGTGTATGTATTGTATATATGTATATTATTTTCTTTACTTTCTTCAAAATAATTTAAATTCTTAATTTCGAGAAAGAAATTTATTTGGGAAGAAAAATATTGAGACATTCTAAAAAATTAATCGAAAAAGGAGTTCCTGCGGTTTAATAGTAAAAACAACATTTATTGTCATACATATATACACGAATGTCACAATTCTCGTTCAAGATAAATCTAACTGATTTCTAAAGAACAAATCTATTTCAGTCAGTTTCTAGAGACCAACAAATCCCCAACTTATTAGTCGGTTTTCAGTACGGACTCCTCTTTATATTTTTCTAAATATATATCTACGCTTATTGATTAACCGCATGATAATTACACGAACAAATTAAAGAGAGAATAATTTTAGATTTTTTAATATAATGCCTATTATTAGAAAATATATGAAAAGGTGTTCTTTCGTTCAAACAAAATTATTGATGTGATTTATATCAATTTATTATCTCAAACCCGATGAAAATTCAATTTTGACAAATACTATGTATTTTTTTTAAATGTATTCTGAATAATGATGGCAGTTATAAGCGTGTGTCTTTAACAGCATCATCTATTTTGTTGTATATATATATATATATATATATATATATATATATATATATATATATATATATACGTAACTACATTTATTGTCATAAAAATTTTTATTATTTACAATAAAATTCTCGATGTATATCTCGTGTTTCTCTCATGTTCTTTCCTATGACACGTTTTGTAAATTGAATGTAAATTTAACAAAAAAATTATTTCACTGTCAATTCAATGTAATTTCATTCTATATATCATCCAGCGATCGAAATCACGATGAACAATCGATTTCGTTGTAATTTAATGATTTCACTGTTGCGATAGATTTCAGTTTTATCTTAGTCACAATTGAAAATGATCAGGACGACCACAGCAAGACCAATATGACGTAATTGCAAATCGCGTGATGACCTAACACCATTTTGAGCGTCCAGTTGCGTCGGTGCCGAATGCGCCGGTGCCGGTGCTGGTGCTGGTGCCGGAAACACGGAATTTCTCGACTTGTTCACGATATTCGGCAAAGAGCTCGACGAGTTTCTCCTAGATATCGGCGTGGTATGGCCCACGTTCTTCGGGGTCAGGTCAGATTCGTACTTCTTCTTCTCTGTCGGCTTCCGCCAGGCGTGTTTCCCGATGACTTCGGTATTGCACGGGGAAGTTATTGTTGGTTTGGGTATCTGCAACTCTACAATGTTCGATTTCGGAGAAACAGGAACATTTATTGCTATAATTATCTGGTAATTGAGATATATTAGACACGCAATGTAGACTATAAGGGAAATTTTAAATAAAAGGACTACAAATGTGATGTGTAAATTATGGGCATAAATCGATTCTTGCTGTGAATTCTTCGTATGTATCATATTCGGTTCTGTAAAATTCTAATATAATTAAATGACAAAATAAACATATTTAATTACGAAAAAATTTAACAAAGTATTAAACTGATATATCTATGATATATCTATCGTATAAACTTTTGTGGGCGATATCGATTATTACTTACCTTGCAGTCTTATAGACGCTGCTGTTATGTCATAAGCATTTTCAGCAGAGCAAGTATAAGTGCCGAAATCAGATTTATCTAGTCGCCTGATAGTGAGATTTAGCTGATATGCATAATCGTTGATGATTACTTCTGATATGTCATGTTTCTCATCCTTCAATAATTTGACTCCTAAAGTGAATGTCTTCAAATGTAATTCTGTTGATATTTTATCTGTACCTATTTAAAAAGAAAATTCTTTTTCAAGATACAACTTAACTTTTTGAAAAATTTACACAAACTACATATTTTATTCTTCTTAGTCTTAGTTTTTTTCTCTCCATAAAATCATTAACGACAAGATGACTAATAAAATCTGCGTAACTATTCTCGCAAAAAAAGTTGTGAAACTATACATTTTCATTTAATATCTTTTTCGAATCGCATTATAAAAATATTTCACATATGCTAGATACATATAATTGAATTTTCCACAATTTGGCACATTTGAGAGCTGTTTATTTTAATTATTTTAGAAACGAATGGACAAATTGCACGTGCATCGAAAGAATCACGCGGTGTATCCCTCACCGTTATTTCTGTACCATGTGTTCAGAGCCTTCGGCGAGGACTCCACGTAACACTGAAGAAGAACATCGCTGTCGACGGGCGCCGCCACTAACTGGTTTGTGACTTTAATCAGCGGTTTGACTTTAACGAGAAAGATGCAATTAGTCGTGCAACTTAATCAAACGACAGGAAGTTGCTGCTTCGTAACGCGCGTATGCACTTACAACGAACATTGACGTAATATCTCTTGCTGACCGTCGGCGGCACTCCGTTTGACGCGATACAGAGATAAGAACCCATCTCTTGCCGTTGAATGCCCCTCAAATGAAGCTGCTCACCCTCGTATGTTGGCACTGTATTAATATTTTTGATATGATAAAAAAGATAAAAGAGTCGAATATTTAGATATCCTTCTTTTAGGCACTCTCAATTTTCGACATAATAATCTTATTTTAAAAAAATACGAGCAATTAACTCTCAAATTTCGCCTCTTTTGTGTATAGAATGTATTTTATACACAACATCTTATCTGTATAGTTTATTTTTTTATTCTAAAATAATTAAGAAAATTGTAATAAATAATAAATAATAATTAATTATTTTTTCTCTTGCGATATTTTATCATAAGAATTTTTATGTCAAATTTGAATAATGTATTCATTTAGAAAATTAAAAAATTGTATACAAAAGTTGCGAAATATTTTGCATATTGTTGCATTTCTTTACATATGTATGTATTATATAATTTTTTAAATATTTGTAAAAAAATATATAAGTTTAAAATCGCCTTATTTTTTCGTGTAAAGACATTAGAAATTTCAAAACAATGTTTAGCCGAGAGTTCCGATACATGCGTCTGTATAAAGAAGACGGAACCACTGACGGGATAGAGATATCGCGGCAGTAACGCTCTTGCGACGCAATGTACACACTGAATATTGCAATCGGGTACACCGAGTCGATACGGGCTTGGGCGGCGAAGAGGAAATATATGTAAAGTCAACATCCATCACTCACAGTCAGGAAGGCTAATCGGATGGCTGCTTTTCCGCGGCGAATCCAACAGGGTCGTCCCGCATCGTATACAAGGGCGTTTTTTTTAGAAGTGATCCTGTGCTTGAAATATTTCATCCTCAAAATCGAGTACCACATACGGATCAATTAAAGATAAATCATTTCAATGGTTCCGTTTACGATCAATCCTTTCAGCTTCATACCGGAGGTGGAAATTTCATTTATTTTTGAGGGAGTAATGCATTTCACGTTAAAACGGCGATGGAATATATGATGGAATATTAATTCACCATTTTAAGACCGCCACCAGGCAGTTATCTCTCTTTTATGCAATAATATAAGCATTATCTGATAATTAACACCTAATCAAATTAACTCTATTCGCGATTCTATCTCTCAACCCTATAATAATTGCTTTAAAAAAGTGTGTTCCTGTCAGTGTCAATATTTCACATTTCATACATACAACATACATCATACATATTACAAAACGCGATTTTTTGAAATCTTCATGTTAATTGGAATAAAATTAATTGGATAAAAAAATTCCTTTATATTCCACTCGAAATAATTTTTTTCTTCTCTTATTTAATATTTTATGTTTTCTATCTCATGTTTCATTGACGTGTGTTCACCAATATATTCAAAGACTACAACGTACTTCGTTTTATTCCTTGATGCTCATTCCTCAGGGTGATGTTCCGACCGTCCTCTCGGCGCCAGATCACTACAGGTTTCGGGTTGCCGGTCGCTCGACACCGCAGTCGCAAATCGCCATTCTCCTCGGCGGTCAGGGAATCCGCTGTGTCGTCCAGATCCATGATATCGGGTGGTATCACCACTTTCATGTGGCCGGTCTACGCGCAAAATTCATATTTACATTAGTGAACGGAAAAATATTTCGCAGGATAAATAAAAACAAATTTTTTTTAATTAAAAGAGTTTTAAAGAAATCCCGTTTTAATATCCGTTTGAGTTATTCATGCAGAGCTGAGTCATTCATTTCGAAAAATTTTATAAGCATAATGGTCAATAACTACCACTATTCTTTCAATGAAACTAGATTACTACATTTGTAAGAATATTACATGAAGATTATCAAGATAGGAAAACTTTATTGGACAAAATATAATACACCCTTTTTAGCGTACGAATGTTGATTGAATGATAATAATTTTTTCGTCTATCTACGCGTCGGTTTTTGTTTTTCCCTTCTCAATATTTTTTCGTTATGTAGAACGCGCTCCACATACACACTGACATATGTAAGTATGTAAACAAGGACACGTCGTTATATTCCTTATAAATGTTATTGTCCTTTTGTGGCTATACTTTTCATCGATTTAAGTATAAATTGTTCATATAATTTTTGGATTGAATAAAACAGAGAATCGCGAATCGAGAGATTCAAATAACAAAAAATGAATCATTTATGAATAATTAAATTCTAATTTATGAATATATTCCATTTATTTTGTTAGCGCCTTAAATATTTTATGACGACAATGTATTAACTATGTTTATACACAATGTTTTTCTTGTGACGCGTTCTTTATGTCAGTATTATCTTATTATTCGTCAAGACATGATCGCGAGAGGAACACGAGAGGCATCGTGCGTTATAACCATTACAATTATAAATTATCGATTCACTTGATTAATTAATTTCCGCGTTAAATGACATCTTAAGCGGTTATTTATCACGATGACGGTTATTTATCAAAGTACATATTTTGTAACACACACATATATATTTATTTAAAATAAAATTTAAAGAGAACGGAAATTATACATTTTATTGCGATTTTATAGATAAGAAAATTATAAATGTAAGTATGTTGAAATCGAATATTCGCTTCGCGAAAGATTGATTTTTTTCACTTAAATATAGTTTGCCTGTCATTTTCTCAAAAAAAATAATAATAATATATAAGTCAAATAATTCAAATAAAATGTATATGCATTATTTATATATTATTTTATATATAATTTATATAGTTATATTAATAATTTATATAATTATTTATATTATTAATATATTATATTAATAATAATATAATAATAATATTAATAATTTATTTATATAATAAAAATGTATATCATCAATTATATATTTTATATAATTTATTTTTGATCAAAATTTATCCCGCAATTCAAAAGTGATAAATTTTTGGACAATATATTTTTGGATATCATATATATTTTATGATATAAACTTTAATTTACATATTCAGTCAGATTTATATTACGAAATAGTAATCGTCTTAAAACGAGAGCGATTATTTATTAGTAAATGATAGATGATACCGTCGTTGCGATGAATTTAATCGGACGATTTTCAGACATTAAGTGAATCATATAATTATAATTTCTTCATTGTTCTCATAATATAATAATATATAATTAATATAATATATAATTAATATAATAAATTCGTGTTTCGTATATGTCGGGAGTGTTATGAAAGTGTGAGTGTGAGTGTGCAAAGTGCTACACGACCATCATGTTATCGATTAATGCGCAATCGTAATTAATCGTTTCGTAATTAATATTTCCGCAAATGAGTGCCGAAGCAAGGAAGGATGAAAAAGGCAATAAACGGCGCAGTAATCGTAAGATGAGCAATTTTTCAATCATTTTAAAATAAGCAATCAGGGATCAGAATTTTGAATATTGCGTTTTTCAATTAGCGTTTAATATTAGTCATTTTGCACATGTATATACATGACGCATGTATATACATGCATATGTACATCCATGCGTTGTAATTGCATTAGATATAGAAAGGGACGAACGCATCGCTCCCATTCGGTAGCGACGTGATAGCAGACGTGATAGAGGACGACTGTCGCTCTAATGTTGAGCAGCTCTACTGACCTGGCTCCTCATGGGATCCGTATTAACTTGACACATGTACGTGCCGGAGTCGTTCGGCTGAACGTTAGTCACGTGCAGCTTCCATGTGTTATGGCCGTTGTGAGTGACGGACAAGCGTGGATTTTGCGCTACCATATGCGTGTGAATGGCCAAAATCGCACGCGAATCCGACTTTATCCAGGCGACCTGTGCGTGACGTAACAAAATTGCTCATTTCGCTCGTAATAGGATAAATCATATGATTAAATTGTAAAAAAATATTTTTAAAAATCCATACATATATTAAAGAAATTATAACTAATATCTCTCTTGATTTATTCTGCCTATTAATTATTTAACGTTTAACGACACAATCAATATATTCGCTATGAATTTATTATGGTATGATAAATTATATTTTGTAACGTTCTGTAAATATTTTGTAACAACCATTCTTTATAAATAATATTTCGTATTCCCATTCAAATGTAAAAATATATCTTTAGCAATCGCAATAGTTGAAAAATATATATTTAATTTAGCTCGCAATGTTGTCAAATAATATTTTCGTTTGATATTTACGCATCCAACAGGCTAAATATACATATATGTACGTAAGCGATTGTTAAATAAAAAAACCAATAAATTAATTTTTTATAAAATCCGAGTTGTGCCGACAGTGATTATATATAATTCGAGAATGATGGGAATTTTATACATATAATTACTGCGTGAATATGTAACTGTTGCAAAAATAAAATAAAGAATGAATTGAAATTTTGTACAAAGCAAACGTGATGCATTATTTTTCTATGGCTTTATATAATCAATAATTCTTTTCCACACAACACTATAATAATACCTTCTTATATGAACGCAACAAAAGGATAAACGCAACAAAGGATGCCATAAAGATAAATAACGCAGAAACGTGTGTTGTAGAAAAAAAAAAGAATTTTGTTTTTTTTCGCGCAGAGAGTTGTATTTTACAGAAAGGAGCGCGAGCACGGGGAAAAGATCGGGTCACTTTACGCGAGAAGAACGAGCACCCTTCATTAGTACCGGATGCGGTGCTTAAAAAGCATCGCGGTACTCGCGAAAGGCGCTTATCGGTATTCATACCGGTCGGTGACGCGACGTTGGGGCTTTGCACTCTTAAATTCCGCTTGGGTTTACATCGCCCTTCTCTAGGTTCCTCCTCTTTCGCGCCCGGTCGATAGCTCGATCTGTCATATTTCAGACGATGGTGAAGCCATGGAGCGAATGAAAAGGCTTTTAAACCACGAACAAAAGCTCGCGTTGCCGCGTTTCGATCAGCGACAGAATTTAAGATGCGCATAAATGCGCGTGAAAGGATATCGCGATCTACCTGTTGGAAATACATACACGCTTTTGTCGCGGTCTGAATCTCCTTCCCCCGAGGGATGATCCTTCGTGGACCAAGAGTAATTGGCAGGTGTCCTTATAGACATTCAATATGGGATCTGACTCGCGCGACTATAGATCTATAATAGTATACTCGGAGTATTGCATTTGCGATGGTGTTAGATGATTATATTAGTTCAATTATATATTGATATGTATATATATATATATATATATATATATATATATATATAAATATGTATATATGTAAATATATGTTTATATGTATATATGTATATGTGTAAAATGTGCGGGATTTCTTATTTTTCTCAAATATTATAGATTTATCCGCATTTGCACAGATTTCTAAGAAAAGATTCTCATTAGCTCTATTTTTTTAATTCTATATTTAAAAAAGGCAGATATATTTCTCGATTAATTCGAAACAAATTTTACTGACGTAACTCAATTCACATTTAATTGCACGGCTTGAATTCCCGTGGAGAGACACCTGAAGCTTTAGGTACGGCTGCACGCTACATAGGACTGTAAAGGGTTAAATTTCTGAGATTAGATGTTACGGGATACACGAGACATGGATACGAGTAACGCGACGACACAGACGGCTGTCAAATTAAACAGATTTCGACGGCAAGTATATATGTGTATTTTTGTCTACGTGGCAAATTTTATTTTATGAATAAGCGATTAAATCGCGTAAATATATCTTTTCGATATGGAAGATAAAATATCTATGTATCGCATAAAAATAAAATCACGAAAAATGTAGATTGATTAAACAAAACGGAGAGTGCAAAAATATAATATTTTGCGTGTGCGCGAGGTTTCTCTACGTCAACAATATATCTAAACGAGATGGAATGTGAAACGAGATAGATGGTAAACGGGTTAGGTTATCAGAATCATTTATCGGAAATTTTAACGAAATTGATATTAAAACTTCCGAAACTCTAACAGAAAAACATACAGATAAATACATTGCAAATGGCATATAAAAAATGTATACAAATGAATGCACAAAAAGTCGTTAGATTTTTTGCAGCGCAATTCGGACTTTATCTTTTTCCGCGATTTTCGTCTCGCGTGTGACAGTTGTCAGGTCTGGATTTTTACACACATAAGCTACTCAAGCTACAGTTTGAAGAGTTTCATATACGAGTAATTTACTGTTAATGAAAATAATTTAAATGTTGTCATCACTATCATTTATCAAAGAGAAATTTTTTTTTTATTTTATACTAAACGATGTAATGTGTTATAGAGGCACGAATTTAAATTCGACACTGATAATTACATATACGAGGAAAAAATATTATTTGCACAGTTTTTCATCTAATCGTCATTTTGCTGAAGTGCGTAAGGTGCACATAAACGATGTCGCAAAGTCAGCACAACGATGCAATTGCGCGAGGAACATGAGAAGGTGTTCGGTGGCAAAAATCAGGGCTATTCACCGACATTATATTAGCGGATCTGATTTATGTTCTTTCTTCCGTCGTTTCCTTTCTCTTTCCGGAGAGAAAGAGAGAGACAGAAGAGGTAAACTCTTCGGAGCACAGCCGCGAGCGACAAGACATCTCTCCTCCATCCTTTCCTTTAACGCAAGCACGCTCCGACAGCGTTAGAAATGTGATAGAAAGATTGTCGCTATCTGAGCGCGCAATCAAACTTAGACTTCTTCTTGAAAGTGAATTACTCGTCGCGTCTGTCCCAAAAGGGATTCCCTGGACTCTAGTATATACAACCGAACACCTTTTACACACGCGAAAACACAGACTGATGAGTGATTGCATGTGAGTGACTATAAATACAGAGAGACCGTTTCCGTATTAAATTATGATCGATAAACTGGCAGAATCGCGAAAAACTTGCAAATTGTTGATAGTTAAATTAGATAATATTCAATAAAACAAAGAAATATTGAAAGACGCGCGAAATTATAAGGATCTCATGGTTATAGTGATAAATTCTTCATTTAATTTGAACGTGAGTTTCTTCAATAAAAAAGAGGTAGTTCTCGAGTAATCAACGGTTGAAAATAAAGGGCTTTCTTCATAAACCAAGCTTCGTGGAAGAGCAAATAGACAAGAAATCTGAAATCTATAACTAATTTCAAGTGGACTTTACTTTAATAGAATTTTAATCTGAGATTTAAATACGAAGATATTCAAAGTTAAAAATTGAAAGTTAGTGACGAATGATGCGCCAAGGAAAAATAGAATTTAGTTTCGCCGAAAGATTTATCATTATTTGAATATATCATTATTAATTTTTATCCTCGTTTTTATTTTATTTATTTATATCATCTTGTTTATTTGAGAAGGTTGCTGTAATTATTGTAATTCAAATATAAAGAAAGGAAGGTTGTATAAATAGCTAGTTTAATCGATACGAAAAATTCTAAACTATTATATATATGGAAAAAGAGAGAGTTTATATATATGTATATATTAAAATGTATTATTAATATAAACAAGTACACATAATATTATTTTTTCGTGGATTTATTCCTATGTGTTGCAAATTCTTTTAAAAATTTGGTTTTATGATGAAATCGAATTTTGAAATAAATTTTTAAAATTAATTATATTATCTATGATATTTATAATCATACAGCTAATGCTACTTGTTATAAATATGATTATTATTAAAATAAAAAAATACCTATAAATAATTACAACGCCTAAAGATAAGCGGATTATGCACATATAACATTATGAAATAAAATGCATATTATAAAATGTATGTTATGAAATGTATATTTAATTTGATTTCTGTTAGATGTGTTAAATTGACAGTCTATTTATATGTCTACAACTCCCACATGTCTTTATAATTCCTTCCATTCTTACATTTGAAAGGAAAAAACAGACTTCCTAAAGCTGTGTTTTTTTTTCTAATTTTGGAATAAAATTTATTTGATATGCGCAGTCTATTTCCTACATCCTATAGTTTCGACAATACGTTCTGTTGCCTTTCTTGTCTTTGGAAAATACATCGAATACTCAATGGTTCCGCTTGATTTGCATTGTTTCGCTATTCAAATCCAAGGAAAACATCTTGACGTTTGTGGCGTCGCTCGCGGCTTCTCTCTTAGGGGTTGAAAATACTTGTCGAAGAATACTTGTGACATTTTTACAAGAACTAAGTTATCTCTCTATATACGAATCGGCCTTTTCTACCGCGCGCGTAACATACAATATAAATGACAGTGTTCGATAAAACTGATGGATAAAATAGTTTTCGCATGAGTTAAAATAAAAAATTCACATTTTTAAAATATTCAATGTGAATTTTGTTTAAAAATGAAAGAATGCAATTATAATTCATGAAAGAGCTTAGTAATTTTAATAAAATATTAATTTTGTTCCCACGGTTTTACTCTTCTCTCTCAATTATCTATTAAAAAATATTTCTTATCGCATTATCGCGTGTTGCTATTTTCTTGTGTTATGACATTTTTATTTGAAGCACTTGACAACATATCATTTCGCAATCAAATTAACGGAGATAGACATTTTTGCGTTTAATAACTGGCAATGGAATATGTAATTCGATTCGATTATTTTTTTTACCTATAGTAAAATCCAGTATATTTTGCAAAAATAAAATTTATTGTGGGTCACATTACTAGTTATTTCAAACGATCCCTAATCGACTACATAATTACACGCGCGCGAACAGTACGAGTACATTTACCTTATAAGACTGAAGATGATTAACGACGCAGGTGAAGAAGACGTCGCGACCTTGAGTGACCGTGTGATTTTCCAGGAGCGCCAGAAATTCGGGCAGGACCTCAGATTTAGGCGGTGTTTGACCTGAATTATGCAATTAACGATTATATGCGCTAACGATTATGGCTAACGATCCATAAAGTTAATCCTTAATTAGCCCTCTCAGCCACCAACTTGCCGCCGATACGAATATGATATATGAACGGCGCATTAGAGGGAATTTCGGGAATGGATGCCGAATGCCCGTCATCTTTTTGCGCCGCGTGCGCGAGCGCAAAATTTAATCCAGATCGCCGCGTTATTTATGCACGTAACGAGCGACCGGCCGACCACATCTCACCTCGCGATAATCATGATTCTTTCTGTGTTACATATATTTGATATATCACTGACTAGTGTCCAGCATAATATATGAGATAATTGGGGAAATTTTAATTTTTAGCAAAAATTAGTTTTTGAAAAAATAAAAATATGTTTTTAGCTGTTGATACAATAAACACAAATTAGTTTATATTCTTTTTTTAATTCGTTATTACATATAAAACATATGTACATGTAGAACGAGGCGCATTAAATATTTTAATTAAATGAGACAATTAAGTTAAAAAATATTATATTCTCAAAAACATTGATAGTACGAAGAAATCTTATTAATCACAATTAAAAGATTTTAGAAAATCTTTACATTTTTCAAGTATATGTATCCTTTTTTATATAGAAATGGAAGAATGTATGACCTCAAAATCAATGATTTGTTAATTAATAAATTAATAAATAATTTTGTAATAAATTCGATAATTTTTTTATATATCCTTTTTTGCGTTCCGTTTCTTTCTTTCATTTTATTATTAAATTCTAAGTTTCCTAAAAAATGATCAATGATTCACATATTGTATTACGTAAAAAGTCAATATGTAAAATAGGGTGCTTATTGACCACGTCGAACCCTTATAAATTTCTTAGCTACCAGTGTTATATCAAATAATATTCCCCTCACGTGGCAACATGTTAACTCGATGTGCGACATATTTATGTTTCACGCAGAAATCGCGCATTGATCATCTTCGCAATAACAAAATGGAATCTAATAGACAAAAAAGAAGATGTATTCTTCCTATATCCTTCCCGGTTAACTTCTCGAAGCAAACACGCGAATATGAAGGAAAGGGGAGAAAGTTTTGCGAGAAACGGGGTGTTTATTAATCACGTGGAACACGGTCGAGCGAAAGTTCGCTGACTTGTGAAGTAATCATCATCTATCATGATCTATCGCGCGGAAAAGCTACCGCGAAGACCGGATAGCATTTTTGTTAGTCCGTACATGCAAGTCGAGTGTTCGACGATTCATGCATTGAGATTCGTATCTTTTTATGTAATGAGAAATCAACCTGACACAAATATCGAATAAAATGGAAAACTTGAAAAGATTCAATAATAAGAAAGTTGAAATCCTCAAAATTTACATAATTAATACATAAATTGTTATTTATGTATTTCTTATATTTTTTTCATAAACATCCAGTATCTCCTAAATAAGTTTTATTTTAACAGAGAACAACAGTGTCTTTAATTTTCTCACATTCGCGAATTCGATTGATTAATTAATTTTTAGCGCATATTTTAGATTTTTCTTCAAGGATATTAAATTATTAAATCCTTTCCCTATAAGATTTCACAATTTGTATATTTGATCACGCGATAAATCAATAACAATAATAAATAAATAAATATACAATAAAATAGGAGTCTTTTTATAAAAATCATCCGGTATCTCCTAAATGAGTTTTATTTTAATAAAGGACAGAGTCTTTAATTTCCTCATATTCGCGAATTCAATTTAATTTTTAGCGCATATTTTAGATTTTTCTTCAAGCTCGAAATTAAATTATTATTTCCCTCCCCTAAAAGATTTCGCAATTTATATATTTGATCACACGATGAATCAAAAATAAATAAATGTACAATAAAGTATGAAACATTTCTCTCAAAGTTGGAGAAAAGTCGGCGGCTTGTACCACTTTGCAATTCCTGCTTCTTTTTAAGCAAGGATCCTTTTTAAGCTTTCGCGGAAACGCGAGGCTACCGATAGCGATGTCTCCGGAAAGATTCCATTTGATTCTTACCGAAACTGGAGCAAAGAAAGGCGGCGCAAAAGTAACGGGCACGATACTGTCGTGGCGATCGGAGACGGGGAAAAAGGAGGAATTCTGTGATTCTCCGTGCGGATTAAAAACTCGTAACTTTTGCTTCTCCTCTCCCGTAACTCCCGACCGATGCTTTTTTTCCTATTTTTCAAAGAATCCACATCGCGAAGATACTTACCTTCCTGAGAGCAATATATTCAAGTCTTACCGAGACTGACGTGGAGAAAGACGGCGATAAGGACGCACAGTGCGACGTTCTGCGATGCCATGCCATAGGGTAAGCCATACACCATACGTACTGCAACGAGAATTGTGAAATAAAGCGAAACTTGACTTTTTGCAGAAACAATACATATTAAAAGTTTTAGCTTAATGGCTAATAAATGAAACAAAATTATTAAATTATATTTATAAAATATTATAAAATTCGATAACAATCTGAATCAAGAAATTCGATAGATCTCTTCATTATAAATTTTTGTTATATATTTATATATTATGATTTCTTCTTGTTTTTAATCATTAACATTTTATTTATTTCTTATAATACTTGTAAATTATTGTCTATGAATATGAAAAAGAAATTATCAAATGTGTGAAAAATATCATAATCAAATAATGACCTCGAAACGCTCCGGAAAATTGTTTTAATAAAAAGAATATATGTGTCACGACATCGATATTATAATATATAATTTATATCGATTTTATTTGAATTCACGTGACTAATTTATTTGTCATAGTTAGATTTTTTTATCTAGAGATCTTTCTAAAATTTTAAAAATTTCAGATTTGTATAAAGAATCATATAATTATAATTACATTATAATTACATTATAATTTTTATCACAATATAAAATCTCGCAAGCGAAAGACATTCAAAGATACCATATAGAGAAGACTAGCGCGACAAGATAGCGAGAGGTAAGCGAAAAGAGAGATTGGAGGTCGGAATCGAGAATTTCGCGACTTCGTCGACGCGTGCTCGAGATGCGAGGTTGGAAAAGAGGAAAAGAGGAGGAACGGGAGAGGCAGCTCCGAATCGCGTGAATATTAACTCGACAGTTGGTCGCCACATAAATGCCAACCCCGTTGATATATCCCACGTTTGCCCGTCGCCATCCTCTTCCCACCGACTACTGCCGTAATAATACTCCCGGACGGCAATAGGTAGACTCCCTCCATCCTTTCCGTATCCTCTCGCGATACGCACATGCCGCGTCTCGGGGACACACGTGCGTACGTTCATATGTAGGTACGTAGATGGGTATGTTATATACCAAACAACCACAGTCCAATAGTCAAATGGAAATTTTGCTCGCGCTCGAGTTTGCCCTTTATGACCCCTCGGTCTTCACCCTTTCATCAAAAATTCATCAAAAATTCTGCTGTCATATATACATGTTCGAGTTAAACGACAAGTTAATATAGTAAGCTCTCTTTCTTTCTCTCTCTTTGCCTCTTTATATGGAAGCTGGTTTAATATCCGTTTGGTATTACACACTTTGAAACAACGAATTCTATAAGAATAAGTGACGTATATGTATATGATCATAAATGTGAAGGTAAAATCGTGTATTGTGCCTCTACGAGAATCAGTGGGCGGTTTTAGGATATCAAAAGATCCTTTGATTTCACGAAACTTTGTTCCTTGCGCAAGCATAGTTAACTATTTCCTTCCGATAAGTAATCAAGCATATCCATTCGCATCCGATGGTTTGAAAATTGAAGGAAAATTGAAGGATGTGTAATTTACTTGAAAGCACGCGTTTAATGGCACGCATAATATTACAGTAATTAAAGTATGATTATTCACGGTAATTAATTGAACATTATACATTTATTAATATATTTGTTATACATTTCATCGAAGAAACAATCAGATACAAAATTTATCAGATATAAAAATCAATCTGTACGATTGTACAGATTGATTATTAAATTAATAGTGATAGTAAGAAATGCTAACTTTGAAAATAATTTTTTTTCCAAACAATTATAAGAACAATTGTTTCCTGTATAAAAAAAATTGAAAATTAGAAATTATCGATACACATATTTATGTGAAAATATTTAAATGCAGAAAATTGCATGATTGTTTTCTCCTTCTTCTTCTTTTATTAGAAATGTATAAAAGAAGAATTCTTTCGTTAACTTCTTTGGTAACTTCTAGGGTCTAAAGCGCGCGTGAAATTTTTAGGTAAAATAAATAAAAGTTTTTATCTAATAATAAAATTACAGAAGTATAAAAAATATTTATATATATACTATAAAATATTATCCATTATGTAATTATAATTATATATATATATATATATATATATATATATATATATATATGTATATGGAAGATTGCAAATCCTATTAATTAAGTTTCAAATTCTTCAATTTCATTTCTGGCAAGTTTTACATTAGTGATATTAGCGATAGCAAGATTTCTCCTGTTGAAAAAAGAACTCGAAGATCTCAAAATCGGAGGGTAACTTTCGGCTTCTCGTCTTTCGCTTTCTCGCTTTTAGCTAGTATTTCCTTTTTTCTCTCTCTTTCCTTTTCTTCCTTATCCACATGTTTTAGCACTTTCGATTTTTAGAAGCACGCGAGAAGAAATAAAAGCCACCTACCCATTCGTTTCATCAGATTCGCCCCGCCGGAACTATTACACGTTTCCATAGCGTACCTTTTATTTCGGCTCCTACTTCTTTTTTCTTTTACGCGTTTCGCTTTTCTCGATACAATTCTCACGTGCACTTAACGAATACAATTCTCCTCCTGTCAGCTCCTCCCGTCCGTGCTCTTTTGCATACAGCTAATCTTCTCACCGGATTTGCGGGTGGTCCGTTTCTTCTCCATGTATCTCAACCCGAAAAGAAGTAAATATTCAAAGTTCTTTGTTACAAGAGGATCGCCGGATCTTTTCCGCCCGCGAGGGTTTATCCTCTTTTAATATCCGAGCTAGCAATCAAGAATATCGGTTTAGATTTGCGCGTGAAGTAAATAGCTTCGCTTTTAAGGGCATCTGCTTTACATTTTATCCAAACATGAATTTTGTTTACGATTAAATCTAAACATTAATAATTAATAAAAGCATAAAACAAGGACTATGTTTAGAAAAAAATTTTGAATGCAGCTATGTGAGAGAACATGTATGAAAGAGTATGAATATTATTAGACTATAATTCCAAATTTCATATTTCTTGTTCTTTCAGTAATTATATAATCATCCTTTCCAAACTTTATATTTTCTGGAGTATCTAATTATACAGAGCAAAAGTAAAATGACAAAAGTACAGAAAGTATATATATAATTTCTTTTAAAAAAAATAAATCAGAAAAAATCCATCTAATAATATTCACATCTTTGTACATCTTTGTATTCACATATTTTCAAGATTTATTCATGAAGGCTTTTATAAGCTTTAATTATAATTATTAATAGCTGAAAATTATAAGACAGCATTTTTTAGTCATTCCTTCGTTATTCTAATACTTTGATGCACGAAAATTATTTTTTTTTCATTTATTTCACATCTATACATTTTACATACGTAAACGTATGTATTCTTATAACGCGCACACTTATCACGCGGTAAAAAAATCTAGTTAATTTGATAATCCATGTATTAATTCGATTTGATTTATCTTTTGGTAGATAATATCGCATCTTTACATCTACAAACGTTATATGTGAATCCATTAGAGTAATTCACACGTCGTGTTTGGCAAAGCGCTGAAACGTTGTAAAGCTATACGTAATGCTGAACCTAGTAAAGCTATCTAGGAAATCAAATATCGACGTGAGAAACGCGAATACATTAATCATCTATAATGCGTCTATTAAGGATTATCGTTCTAAAGTAATCCATACATTAGCATGTGAATTGGATGATGGAAGTAGCAATATCGTAAAACATTTCAATAAAACTTTCGATTAATAGCTGTCTAAAAAATGTAAATGCCGAGTAAGATTGAATACATTTTCAATACATATATGTACATCGGATAATGTTTAAAGAAATGATATAAAATCATTACATTAAAAAAAATTGCAGGATTTAATTTCCCAAGTACTAAAATTACAACAGAGTTGGCAAAGCGTACTGATTAATCTTAATAAATATTCGATTTCAATCGCTAATTATAAAGATACCGAATTCTTGAATCGCGAATGAAACAATGATAAATGCATTCCTCAAACATTGAAAATGGTTTCGCGTTTCGTAACAAAGAAATTTGATCAATCATCCTCTCGACATTCATGAATGGGAGATTCATCGATTCCTTTCTCATCGAAGGTGATGTATATCACTTAGTTGAAAAAAGGCTTTCTCTTCTCAATAAAATTTCACATTTCCGATACAAAGAGATGAACACCGAAAACTTTCATAGCGTATTCATCCGTTCACCCGACTTGACCTAACAATAAAAAATTGCAGTTTCCGTCATTCCCTTGTATTTCACTTCGTTTCTCTATTTTTCCTTTTCCGTGGACGATCGCGAAACTTTCCTTAACGCGACCAAAAAGAACGATTGATTATTGATAAGGTGCTGCAGTGTGACAGGGGTTCTCGAGATTATTCGAAGGATTTTCGAAACTACGTTGGCTTATCGCTACTTAATACACGCTTATCACGACGATATAAGTTGCAAAAAAGTTTAATGCGAATCTTGTAATTTGCCGTATCTTCCTCAGCTTAGATTTAACCTTGTAAAAGAACCCATAACTTTTTAAAGATGACAGAATAATAAGTCCTGGGATGTGCTAGAATTCTAGTATCATTCTTTTATTTTAACTTGAATCAGTCTCGATAATGAAAAAAAATCAATACTAATTATAATATTATAATTATGTTTATCGTATTATTTTATTTTTTGTAACAAATAATTATTTTAACAATTAAACTTTCGATTAACGATATTACTGTATATATCTTGATACAACATTTTATTCATCACCTGACAATTAAGTAAGATAACGATTCCTTGCACGTGTGAGCGCGATTCTATCTATTTATAGTATTTTCGGTATCGAATTCCATGTCTGACAAACTTCTATACAATAACCACACGGCGTCTTATAGTACTGCAACAACTGAAATCTACTCTATGGCATATTAAATTTCTTCGCTAACTATGCATTACGCTGGCAATAATGGATTCAATATAATTACGGTAATTATAACATCTCATTATTGATGTTCTTTGTGACTTATAACAGAAGGATGCATGAGATTGTCATGATACTCTCTCATCCAATGTGCATAATAAAAGTTTGCGACAGCAAAAAATACATGATGTTAC